CCACATTTTAGGAAGGATGCTGACAGCTCGCTTCCTCTGACGCATGTCAAATGACATTTAACTCTCTCGACCTCCCTCCTTAGAAGTCCGATAGCAGCTTAAGCGACTTCCTCAGCGATGAGGAAGATCCCGGCTCTTGTGGAAAATGCAGCAGACGCCAGAGGTCACGTAATGCATTGGAGTCCGGTTGTGTTGGGCACAAAGGGAAGGCTGTGGAGATGAAAGCCAGGTATGTGTTTTTTTGGCTCTGGGGCTCTCTAACACAGTAGCGTCACTTTCTTCCAGTATCTGCAAGTTTCGACTCCTTTCCCCCATTCCAGAACAGATAAAAGAAAGTACTTCTTCCCCTAAGGAGTAATTAGCACACGAAATTCACTGCTGGAGAGCATAAGAGAAGCCAATGTTGGATCAGGCCAGTGGCCCATCCCGTCCAACACGCTGTGTCACAAAGTGGCCAAAACCCAGAGGCCATCAGGAGGTCCACCAGCGGGGCCAGAACTCCAGAAGCCCTCCCACTGTTGCCCCCCCTCCCGAGCACCAAGAATGCAGAGTACCACTGCCCCAGACAGACTTTTCCATCTGTAAAAAGGTAAAAGTTTCCCTTTCTCAAAAGCCAGTCGAATCCGACTCTAGGGGGCGGTGCTCGTCTCCGCTTCCAAGCCGAAGAGCCAGCGCTGTCCGAAGACTTCTCTGTGGTCATGTGGCCGGCATGACTAAACGCCGAGGTGCATGGAACACTGTTGCCTTCCCACCGAAGCGGTACCTATTTATCTACTTGCAATTTCTTGCTTTCGAACTGCGAGGATGGCAGGAGCTGGGGCCAGAGACGGGAGCTCACTCTGTCACGCGGCACTCAGGTCTCGAACGGCCAAACCTTCTGGTCTGCAGCTCGGCATCCTAACCTATACCTTGTGGCTAATAACCACTGATGGACCTCTGCTCCATATGTTTATCTAATTCCCACGGGCTACTTACTCTTTAGGTGAAGGATCAAGATAGGTAGCCGTGTTCAGGGGTCATTTTGTAGAAAAAGAGGTGCAGGAGCTCATTAGCATAACTTATTTGCATATGCCACACACCCTGACATCACCGGAAGGGAGTCAGACGGCAACACCCACCGCTCAGGCTCCACTGGACTGTTTTGTCTCTCAGCCCCGCCTACCTGACAGGGTGCCTGTTGTGGGGAGGGGAAGAGAAAGGAGATCGTAAGCTGCTCTGGGTGGTGAAGGGCGGTGTATAAATCCAATCTCCTGCTCCTGATCCTCCTCTTCTTCTTCTTCTTCCTCTTCCTCTTCTTCTTCCTCTTCCTCCTCCTCCTCATTTATATCACACCCATCCCGTAAACAGGCTCAGGGCAGGTCACAGCAGTTCGATAGATACAATAAAATTTAAAACACCTTAAAACATATAAAATGAATGGTCATGCTTGCCGTAGGGAGAACCCGGCCCATTGATATAACCACGTATGGCCAGTTATCAGTGGATGGGAGACTGCAACCTCGGGAAGGGGGGCATATGCTCCGTCTTGCAGGCCCTGCAGAATTGAATAAGATCCCGCAAGGCCCTGATCTCGATGGGGAGCACGTTCCACCAGGCGGGGTCCAGGGTGAAGAAAGCCCTGGCCGAGGCTAGGCGGACGTCCTTTGGGCCAGGGATCACTAGGAGATGTTGACTCTCGGAGTGTAACACACTCTGAGGCGTCTGCGAGAAGAAGTGCTTCCTCTCATCTGTTCTGGTCCTCCAGAAGTCGGGTCGAAGAGGTGTGGCGAAGATAAGAGAGCAATAGAAGCAAAGAGGGCACCTTCGGGGATGATGCAGAGTTCTTGTGTGTAGAAACATACTCCGGGTGCAAGCCCCTGCCATCTGCGAGGGTTGGGGGGATGCCTTTCTTAATTCACTAGAACGTGAGACTCTTCGCAGGCCAAATGTTCTGCTACACAACAGGTGCAGCACCATTTTCAACAAGCCCCCCCCCCAGTCAGACCATGAGAAGCAAGAAGCAGCCAGGTAAATTGCAGAGG